TTCCTTATGAACCTTTCCTACGTATCGTGAGATCTAAAATGAAATATTTCGATATATATATATATATATAATATTTATATTATATATAATATTATAATATTATATATAATATAAATATTTTGAGTTATAAATATATCGAACAAAGGAAATAGGCGCTTTTCAATTCTCTTCACAATGAAACGCGGTGTATTCCACGTTTTTACGGAACAAACGCGACGCGAGAAGGTCGGTTAACGAGGAGGAAGGTGAGATTTCGCGCGAAAGCACGTCAACTCGATATATATTGGAGCGGAGCCGGGTCAGTTTTAAAGGAAAAAGGTAGAGAAAGGGCGGGAAAAGGCGAAGGAGCAAAGGGCCGTCTTTCAACAAGGCTAATTTTTTCGCGCGACCCCTCTCTGTATCAAGATCACGTATGCCATTCGCCTCTGGGCACGATTCTGGTGAAAATTCATGCGTCGCATTTCTACATTCGCTTCTTATCCTTTCTTTCATTGACGAAAGGAAGACCGAGCGATCTCTTTTGCTCGAGAAATTATTTGATTATATTTATGTTTCTTTGCATTTCTTGTGTTGTCAATCTTCGTTACTTCTAAGTCAAATTTAATGGAATTAATAAATTTTTAATTTTTCTTTCTAATAGAATTCTAAATCTAATTTAGAATTGTGACTATCGTATATGTTATTGATATTATCGATATATCGTTAAAGACGAAGAGTTAAGTTAGGTTAAAATGAATGTAAACTAGACTTTTGACCATTGATTATCGATATAATATGTAATTAACATAACGATAAAATCGTTAAAACTATCGATACATCGTTAACAAATAAAAATGAATATATAAAGTTAAGTTAGATTAAAATATACTCAAAATGGTGATTATCAATTATTAATAGTTTTTAATATAAGGATATATAGAGGTATATTAAAATAGACGTAACCTAGAATTATAATCGATTATCGATATGATTATCGATATGATTGTGTATAGTTTTTGATATATCCATAATAAATTACAGATATATAGTTTAAATTATAGAAAATGATGTCATTTATAATACATAAAGTAATTATTATTAAAAAACATAGAAACCTTATCCTTTATAAATTACACAAGAAATACATAAGCTTACGATATCGATATCATCGATATCTTCGAATGACATTTTTGAACGAAAACGAAACATAATTGATCCACCAGTGCTTCTTAACAACATCTCGAATAACAAAACTATATCAACCACACGTGTTTATCAACTTAGCACAATTACAATCTCTATTTTAATCTAACTTAACCTAACCTAACCTCTCAACATCGAATTTATCGAATTCGCAATTTCTCGTCTAATTACCAATTTCGCGTAATCTCGTCCCCTCTGTCAAGGATAACGTGGACTCCTAAACATCCCCTTTTTAGGAAACGGAATCCAACAGTCGATGCAGTCGTCACTCGGTCACGCAGGATTGCCCGAGACTCAATGACGACTGACGAGGTTTGCCAGGAGGACGGCGACGAAGACGGACGTAGGCTGGAAGGAGAATTCTTATTAAAGGGAACGAAGAGCAGTATAAAGAGAAAGAAAAAGAGAGCAGAAAAGGAAGATAAAGAAAAAGGGAGATGGGAAGGGAGAAGAGTGTGGCTAGTGATTGGATTACAGTCAGGGAGTCCCCGTGGACTCGGCAAATGACCGGGACAAATTGCCCCTCGCCTTCGGGAATACTTATATATCTGGAGCGATCGAGTGTTCGCGTGTCCTCTCAGGTCCTGTTGCCTTCCTCCTGTGCACATCCAGTCTGTACATTCGTACAATGGTTACGAATGGCAGAGTTATTTCGCAGAAGAAATATTCCTGCGAAGGATAAGAGTTTGAATTTAAGAATGTGCGTTCGTATTTTTAGGTTATGTTTCGTGATGCAACATTAAGTTCGTGAGTGTAACGCAGTTTTATTCGTAATATTGAACATTCGTATTCTTTCGATACGGTTGTGGGAAATATTTTCAAAATTTTATTTTGAAATTTTAATTTTCAAGAACTATGAAAGATTATTCGAAGTGTAATGTATCCATTTGTCAGGAATATCGTTAAGAAGAATTTTCTGAAATTTTATTTCGAGATGTATTCATATTCTTCGTACTTGTGTTTCTAAAAAAGTTAAAACAACTTAAAAGTTAAAACAATCCCAATGCACTTGATCAAAAATAATCTCAAGAGTAATTCTCGAGAATATTTTTTTAATTTTAATTCTCAAAAAGTTAAAAAAAGATCAGTCAAAAGCAATTTTTGAAAATTTTAATCCACTTATTCAAAAATACTTGAAAATTTTATTTCGATAATCTTTCGATATCCTTATGTATTTCTGCTTCTGAAAAAATTAATGCCTTATAAATCACTCTCAAAGCAGTATTCATTTATTCAAGAATAAAACAATTTTCGAAAATTTTATTCCAAATTTCTCATATTCTCTAAATTCTATAAAAATTTAATCAATTAGTCTCAACGTAATATTTCACTCATTCAAAAACACTCTCGAGAATAATTCTTGAAAATTTTCTCTCTTAAAATTTTACAAATACTCGCAGTTAAAAAAAGCAGTATCATCGTCGATCTCGTGCACTGTACGGTGAAACAAGCCAGGAAATATGTCCAGCCCGGCAAGGTGGACACACCTCTCGGATGCGGCAATTCCATCCCTGGTCCGAGCGTTTCTCATCCCCTACTACTCTTCTTGACGTAATAACCTGGCGTTTACCCATTGTTTATAGTCGTGGAGGATCGTAAATCGTGCGCTGGTAGTTATTGCCGGCGTGTGCGTCTTCGTGAGAATTCCAATTCTGTAGCTACAGATCAGTAGAGATCAGTGTATCTAAATAGAGGATAACTGCATTGTTCTATTCTTTTCTCGGTGTATATGCAAAACATTCCAGATATTCAAGCTTAATGATGCAATTGCTGAGGTGATTTCGATCAGTTTTTTCCTTTGCGAAAATTTTCGGTTTAGTTAACGAGTTATTAACGAGAAACGAATTGGAGCGCGATAGACGAATGGTAGTGTTGGATATGAGCCGCTCGCGAATCGCCAAACTTGAACAAAAAGAAAAAGAATACGAATAAATTTGAGAATAAAACTTTTGCAAGTTTTGTCGCGTTTTGATTAGTGAAATCTAAATTTAAAATGACAGTGATTTTTGATTAGTTTCAATACAGTGTTCACTTGAGATAAATAAATATTTTCAAGAGCAATAGTTTTATTTTCAAATGAGTTTTATATATAGAATATTCATAAAAATATTTGAACAAGAACAAAGAAATTTACTTAATTGTTTCAATGAATTATGAAATCATCTAATTTTAATGAAAGTATGTATTTATACATGTAAGTATGTATATGGGGAACATAATAAAATTATTTGTTGACGAAAAATCTATTTAAAGTGAAATCAAGTTCAAAGTTTCAACATTTTTTATTTTTTAAATATAATTTTTGTCTGTAATAATTTCCTTCATAATAATATTAAATTCTAAATATTTAAAATTATGCTTTATCTTTCATCATTAACTCTAAACTAGTTCAGAAATCGTCAATTAACTTTTGTCAGTTAATTTTCAGGACACCACATAAAGCAAATATACGCAAAAGGGGAACGACGACGACGATGACAGTAACGAGTCTCTCAGGAGCTTTGCGAGAGTGTCGAAACGCTACCGCTGCCGAATCGCTGATGGTCTTTTTACATACTATCCCTATGGTGCTTCTTGGAAAAAAAAACAACGATGGTTAAAAAAAACAACGTAAAAAATCGAGAGCAGTGTGATTCACCGAAATCATATTTTTTTAAAGTTAAAATAAGATGTCGATAGAAGTTTGTAAAGAAGTATTTATTCTTTAATATGTTCTAGTATCTTTAGTATTAGAAGGTTGAATGTTAGTTCTAAAAATATATCATAAAGATTTCTTATTCTATGGCGGATGATGTGTCATGAATTTTTCCAAAAAATGTAAAAGATAAGAAAGAATTTTATTTATACCATTTTTTTTTTGTATACATGTATGTTCATTTCATAAGTGCACAGTTATTTTGAATTTTATCGCATTTTTTATAACTGCTTTTACTTTTAAAATCGAAAATCAATATTCGTCATCTTTGATTTCTAATTCTAGTTTACTATATACATGATATTAAATCCATTGAAATAAATATAAAAATAGTTATTATGTTTTTATATTTTTTGATAAAATATTATATTTAACAAAGTGCAATAATCATTTATTTTTGTCGAAGATTCTAAAGAAATGTCAAATTAGCACGATATTTTATGGAAGGAACGTGATATAAGAGAACATGCGGAGAAAAAAGTGGAAGGGTCGATCGACTACAAGCAGAACCAAAGAGGATCAATGAGCTATACGCGATTCTTTACGGGTCTAATTGAGCGCAGAGATAACGCGACCGATTCCTGCTGGGTAATAACGTTTCCTCCGTTTTCTTTAATGGCCGACCTAATCGCTGCTGGTACCTCGACTATGCCTATAGATATCTCGTTTGCAAATCTATTGTGCGGATAACCACGTTTTTTATCGTATAAAAAATTTATAGATGTAAGTGGAATATATTTAATCTCAAGTTTAATATATATTCAAATAACTTAAAAATCATATTATTTCACTTTTTAATTGAAATATAAATATTATATATATATAAATATGTATATGAATGAATATGCATGACGAGTGATGAGAATAGGATATGTGACAAAGAAATAGTGTGTATGCACGTGTGTGTGCATGCGCACATATTTTGATTTGTGTTGGAAAGAATCAAACAAAGAGTATCAATGGGTAACCTAACCTAATCTAATTTAATCTTTAAAGGCACACGCACGCTTAAAAACTAAAAATAATTCCACGAATTCTTATAGAATAATGGCAACAATTAATCAAATTATAATTTTAATACAAATTCTTACAATTTTAATTTTTAAATCCTTCCTTTGTCCAAGTTTCATTATAATTGGGTAAAATCGTATCGACAAAGATATTGACAAAGAATTCTCAAGATATAAGAAAGTGGTGTAAATGGGACAATAAGACCGAGACCCTCGATTCACCCTCGCCCGAGTCTGGCGCGTAGGGTTACGGGAAATCGGGATGCAGGATATCCTCGATCTGATTGTTCACGGATACAGCTGCTGACATTCCCCGTACACGTCCGTCGAATAGATATTATCCAGGTCTCGAGAGGATTGCCTCGAGCACGTGACCACTGCGCATCATAATAAAGCAAGTATTAACCTAGTTGTTAACCAATTGCGTTATTTACGCGGCTAAACATCACCAATTATGTACATTTGATTTTTTAATGAACTTTTCTTTCTTTTTAATCTTCATTACGTAATTAATATTTCATATTAATAGACTTAAGACATTTATTTCTTGTCTTTACTCGTTTTTTTCTTTTAAGTAAAATTTTAAATATAAAAAAAATGCGACATATTTGAAATATTAGATAAAAATATTAACATTTTTTTCAATTTGTAACATTATAAATAACATAATTTGTTAATTAATGATATTTATATAAAAATTGTAATATTTTTTGTTTAATCTACAAAAAAATAAAACATAAAATTTTTGAAACAATAATTGTTGAAATCACAGTTAAAACTTAAAAGTAAATCATTTATTTTTAAATCTATTCATTTGTATTTTAATATATACAATGTAATATAATGAATGGTAATATATATTCTTTTAGACATAAACACAAAAATATTGTTGTTTCCAAAGTAAATTTATTTATAATTTACCAAATAAGCCTCGACATTTTTATTAACTTTATATTTGTTTTGATCTTCAGATTCTGTTAAAAGTAAATGTATATATTAAGAATTTAATATATACATTAATTATTAAGAAACTCAATATAATAACCAGAATATATATTTCAAAAATCTTTATTTAAAACATTTTTTTATCAACAATAATAATGAGATATGATATATGAATAATAATATTTGAATCTGTATATTTTTAACACAAGCTATTAAATTCAAGACATAATTTTCCAATTAAATTCACCTTTAAGAACTAATCATCAATGCCATCTGTGAATATCGCAAATCATCGTTGCCCAATCATCCATCCATTGGGGGAAATCGGGAATCAGGTCGAAGCAATTAAGTCGCAAATGCCCATTCCGCCTCGTGAGGGAGGATTTACTGCTGTTTAACCCTCTTGGCTAACTTCTTCGATAAATAAGCTATACAAGGAGGAGAGACACGCTCTCTGGCAGAGTTTGTTGTCCCAAACAGTGGCAATCTGATTGCCCGTTAGTGGAGACGAGTTAGCGCCAGTTCTGACTTTCTGACGAGTCCACTCGAGTCAAGGGAGCTGGGAAGGGAAAAGAAATATACGGAGAAACGAAAATAAAGGAAAGGAAAGAGGCGTCGAATTGAATAAGAAGAAGGAGGAACTAGTCTCGTTTCGTTGAAAGAGGGGGAAGTGCAAGCTCCTGATTAGTAGCCTTGGAAGCGAACAATCGTCATCTAATTTACCAACCGATTCGATCTCCTTCGGCTACTTTCTCCATAGCGACACTCATTCGTTTCTTCTTTTTTTTTTATTTCTTCTTTATTTCTCTTAGTATTTTTTGTTTCCTTCTTGGCACGTAATTGTCTTTTGCAATTCCATTGATTATATTAATGGCTGTGAAGAAAAGCGAGAATTTGATAAGTGGCACTGAAAACATGCATTGAATAATCGGTTTTTATTTTATTATGTATCGAATAATAAATAACAAATAACGAACGTAAGTTTTTTTTGAAATAAAAAAAAGAGATCTAACCTCTTCAGGAATGCACAAGACGTTAAAATAATGTAAAATATTATCAGTGCTTCGAATTTTTTGTTTTTATTACATTCTGTAATGAAGAGAGTATTCTTCAATAGATTTTTAGAATTCTTCTTTCTTAGAATAATTTTAATGTAATATATACATATGTGTCAATGTATCTGAAAGATAAGAAATAAATTGAAATGATTGGTTTGAAAATAATGGTTTACAAGAAATGGAGAGATAATTAATCATAATGGTAGATAATTAATCAATAGATGTTGGACGATTTTTTATCGATCCCCGTTTATCTTCCAATGTTTTCGTTTTGCTTCGATTCTGCAGGGATTTGGTTCCCCAAGGTGCATTACTTAATTGCTTCCATAATGATCTTGTAGAGGAGTGAGAATTCGAGGGATTGTTATTCTTCTCTAACAAGAGAATATATCTTTCTCTATTAATACGCTTCAATAATATTTCTTTCTTGATGTTCTTCCTTTCACAATTTTCAATTTTTATTCTGTAAAACGATTTAGAAAAAATTTTATAAACCAGGATTAGATTTAGAATTAGAAAATTTTATAAATTTTATAGAGCGAATTTATTTTAACAAGTATTTTTTAATCTAAAATTTAAAAAAAATTATTAAATTAAAAATTTAAACAAATTTTCATCTATCTGAAAAATTTCTATATCTCGATATATTTAAATTATGAAATTCACCATCGATGAAATCTTCTTTTGTTGAACATTTCTTCTAGAAAGTGAAAGTCTTCAGTCACCAATTCCATGTACAGATTAGGCTTGTAACGTTTCATGCGTTTCCTTGTTATATGGAACTATATAAAGAGTGGTCGATAACGCGGAAAAATAGGACGAAAAAAGCACGAAACGCGCCGATTTTCGTTCCAACTGCTTGGATTGGAAGCTGAAATATGTCTGGAGCAGTAAATCCTATCGCATCCTGTACCCCCTTTACCCCCATGCTTCGGTGAAATCGTATAACCGTACGAAGGAGGGTTGACGCGAGAAAGAGGTAGGGTGGCTTTCCAGGGTGTGGAAGGCCTTAAAAGTTGTACGTCGATCTTGAGACGGGTTTAATACTCTAGCAGTCGCATCGGGTCCAAAGTCGAGTAATTCATAAAGGAGCCAGGATATATTCGATAGAGTAGCTGACGGTTCCGGAAAACTGGATAAAGAGGTTATGTTTTCCTTCTTGTCGCAGTTTCTGTCACAGTTTTTTTTTTTCTCTTCCTTTTATACATCGACCGTCTTTAAATATATGTGGAAAGTTTTAATGGAAATATCGAGAGAATAGGTTTTGCCACTTTTTGAAATATTTGTTTGGTAAGTTTTGGAATACCTTTGACAAGTTTCTAAATTGGATAAAATGACTTGCAAGTAAAATAAATTATTTATTCTTCTCAAAAAATTTAATTTTATAAAATTTTTCAATTTTTCTATCAATCATCGAATATTTATTTACTAATCCATAATCCACTGCGTGTAATGTGCTATGTTAAAATTTCTAAGGAAATAAGTACTACGGTCTGGAATACCTTATCTCTTCCTAATATTCACGCCATGTTCTCCTCACGACAGGTTTGAACAACACTTACGCAATCTTCATTGGTAATCCATGGCCGGGTCAATCCTCACACTTTCCATGAACTTGTTCAAGTACGTATGGCAGGTATAGTAGTTCGGACAAAAGAGCAATACGCCTCGAACGACCCTGATAGCGTATTGTCACTTGTCGGGCGCAGCGTGTATTGTCCTCGCCATGGAGGTCCACTTGATCACGATCCACCGGCACTCGAAGCTCGCTCGTGTACTAGATAAGATGTCGATTGAAATTCATGCAGTCCTCTCCCCACCCCGATTTCACCTATCGCCAGCACAAATCGCTCGTCGTATTGTTTCCGACCGAATCTCGGATCGGACCTCCGAGTGTCGACACAACTCGAACCGTGTTGCGATCAAAACGATTTGCAATTCTTCGATCGCAGCATATTATCTCACCTGGAAAGATCCAATGCAAAACTCTAAATCGATGTTTCCTAATCATTTTTTCATCGTGCTTTATTTTAGTTCATCAATAATTCGATGTTTCATTTCTAGCTTAAGTATTTTTAATTTATTTTTTATATTTTTTTATGCAATACGAGAATAAAATCGATTCTACTGATAAGTTTTTTGGACAATTTTATATCTGATTTATTGATTCTATAAATTATATAATATCTATAATCACTGTATACGAACTTTTTCATGCAACGTGTTCTATCCACCGCCATAGTTTTACTAACCTCAATTGCGTTCCTGTGAACATTAGTTTCAATCTAGCGTTTTAAATTTGCGACTAAAGAAATTCTTTCGAATGATCGTTCAGCCTCATCGAAATTTTGCTAAACGATCCGATTTCGAGGATTGAGTTATCCAACAGACGTGGAAGTGGCCCGATAACGATTTACGTCGAGTCGCGCGTTTTCACGAACGATCGATCAAAAACAGAGAGAAAAAGCTGTGGTGAAAACTGAGAGAGGGACGAGGAAAGGAGAACACTCGCGTCGCGTCTTTCGAAAGAGAAAAGGAAGGAGTAACGAGAGAAATGTCGAGAAAAAAGACGATCGAAAAAAGAAAGAGAAAGAGAGGTTAGAGAGGGTGGACTTTTCTTTCTTCCACATCCCCAAGGAGTAACTAACTGAACGAGAGTCAGGATAGAGGGTGTTAAGGTAATGCCCCATTAGTATGTGGCCCCCGTAGTAGAGCCGTAACACTACCGCACAGTGGTCAAACCGTGGTTTGTCTCATCGTCGTGTGTCCCCTTGCTCGAGAAGGATGGTGTCTCTATACGCACACACAAACACAACCTTTCACTTGTACACATGTAAACGCGTAAACGTATATATGTATACGTGGACGTGCCGCGCGTATGTAACGGGCGTTCGAGAACGAGACCTGTCAATAGCCGGCTTGTTACCGCGACAATGATCGGCTTAACCAACGGGAAAGATCCACCCAGACGTACTGGATTTTCGGTACGGAAGACCACCGGATAGCGTGTCAACATCGTTTCCCTTCGTCGCACCGCGAGGCTCTATAGATGGGAGATTCTTCTCCTGATTCGAATCGTCATCTCGATGAATTTAGGAGGACTCGAGGACTCGATTTATTGCCTGGATTACGTTGGACTGAGTAATCGTAAATATTGAAAGCAGAGTTTTGGAGAAGAATATATGGAATAGCGGAAATATCGAATGGAGATTGTTTAATCATTACTTTCAATGAGATAAGCTAGTTTTATTAGTTATCAAGTATTTTTTAAAATTATATAAAAATATTTTTTTTTTAATCACAAATTTTGATAAAAAAATTCACATTAAAATATAAAAATATTTCTTCGAATACCTAATAAGTAATTGTTATATATTATTTTTAAGTGTCAAATGAAATTATCTATAACATTCTCAAATTTACTAACAATGTTATATACCAAGAAAAAAAAAGAAATTAAGTTCTCAAATAACTTTACAAATAAAAATATTTTCTAGTAACATGATCGAGTTTGAAAAGATTAAAATACACTATATAACTTCAACGACAACGGTATTGAATTATTATCGTTGATCACAATAGATCCTGTTACAAAATTAATTTTACACCAGCAATTTATTTACCTCATACAAAAACTGATAGGAACAATGTAATAGTAGATGCATACGTACTGTAAAATCACAGACGCATCATGCGATCATTATTTTCTTAGAGTTGACAGGGATTATGTTAAGTTCGCGGGTCACATGAGACGTGTGCGTGACAAATACGCAAGTTGGTTATCGTTCGGATACATCGACTACCGTGAAACTGCTGCTGCCCTCTTTCTCGCTCTCTTTCTAAGAAAGTCTCAAGAGCGCGACTTATAAAATGATACTTACATTAAAATTAAAACTTTTGGTTATTTGAAAATTCGTTGAATTATCTTATTTTTCATTTTTTTAAAAAATAGCATTATATAAATTTTTATTTTAATATTATATATTTACTATATAATTATATAATATATATACATACTATTATATATGCTATACTATATATAATAGTATATATAATAATATATATTTATTTTAATATTATAAATTATTAGATCAAAGTTTATAATGCGAAAGAAGATTTTCCAATATATTTCTTTGAAATTTCTAACAAAAATATAATACCAATCATGATGAATTTTTCAAGAGTATAACCACTTATCTCAGTTCGGCAACAAGGATGCAAGTCACTTACCCTGTACCATAGGAAGACGTTGATGTGAATTAATGGCAGCTTAAGTCATAGTTAGTGCCCGAGTGTTGCGTTTACAGGGGTGCCGGTAGCGCAGTATTAATTAACGCGACCCCAAAATCTCTTCTTAACCCCTGAACTCCCATCTAAACGGCACTGTATCATGTTGATGTCCCGGTAAAAGGGGAACGAGGGGTTTGTTCGTTGGATTTTCAAACGAATTCTCCATAAATATTATCTGTTTCTATTCTGATATAAATGAGCGTCTGGTATGCAATGATAGTCGATTATAAAATTTTATTAAATTCTAATAGCTTTGTTCCTAAAGATATTGTAACATTTCTTTCAATTTTTCTTTGATTATTTCTTAATTTCTCTCTTCTAAAAAAGAAGATCACATCGTTCGCCATATTATACATTTTATTAACCTAACCTATTGTTATATCTAACATTATTGTTAATTTATACAATATAATCTATACATATAATCTAATCTCGTTATATTTTTTCGAGTAATTGTATTATTTTAGATTTGCAAATATAACTGAATATCAATTTCAGAATTGCTGCGGAAATAAGTTTATTTTACCGACTCGCGCGATATATAATACTCGAGAAATATTATATTACGGAATCCCCTTTTACGCGTGGAAACTTTATTCCAGCGGAAAGTTTCTTTCTTAAACGCCAGAGAAAATAAGTAAATCGTAGATCTTGGAATTTCCTTCGAAAAGACGAATGGGATCGTCGAGGTGGCACCGGAGATTCCCCCAGATTGGAAAGAAAATTTCAGGTAGGGAAATGGAATCGAATGGGACGCAATGTGTCGGTGGTAAAAAGTGAAATTTATAATCCGTAAAAACAATTATATATAGAGGCCACGCTAGTACGCTCGCTCCGTTTCAATAAAAACGACCAATATCTATCGTTTGATTTATATGATCATGGTATTCGTGACCTGCCAACTGTACAAGGACCGTCGATATTAAATAGAATATTAAAGATTTAGCGAAAGACAACAACGAGAAACTTCGATCCCTTCTGTTTTATCGAAACGTTGTTTTATGTCACCGAATGCGAAAAGTCATATTCCTTGCTTTCGTATACACTACATACATGCACACGTGAATAAATGCCGATACTTATATGCCGTGAAAGATCAAGAAACGTTTGGGCGATCGCAAGGGACAAAACCAGGCCGGCCATTTCAATAAACTGACCGTCATAAATCGTACGCGATACGTACTGGCGCGAACACACACGCATTTGCATGTGTCGCCAGCTAGCGTTTTTATATTCAAGCTTTACAAGTTGCATTTTTATTAGAATTTTTCTATAAAACTTTTTTAGATTATTTTAGAATAATTTAATAAGTTTGTTTATAAATTATAAACACACGATTTGAAATGCAAATTAATTTAGTAGAAGTGTTGAGTAAATAAGAAAAAAGAAATAATAAATAATATTGTATATTTATTTTAAAGACGATAAAAATAATGTCTAAATGCGTCGAATAATAATAGTTTTCTTATATTTCGCATTATTTCAAAATTTTTATTTTTATAAAATTTTGATATATCTATAATATTGGTGAAAAATCATTATTAAAGAATTTATTATTAATTTATGTAAAACTTTCAGATTATTCAAAAAATTGTCTATTTTCAATAGTGAAATCAAATTGATTCATCGATGAAATGCAAGTTAACCTTTTTAATATCGATTACTTCTCGAATAATAGGCATAAATTGATCATCGTTGTTAAATGTAATTTGCAATCAATTAATATATTAAATTTATCATTATATTAACATAATATCTGTTTGAACATTATTTTTAATTCAGTTTTATTATATTTTATAATCGTTAATTCATATTTGATCTAATTCATTCAATATTATTGCATGTTATAACTATATAGTTATATAGTGGAAGTTTTTCGCATTTATATGGTTAGTTTTTTTTACACCTCAAATCCCCACTCTTTTTCTTCGAACGAAGCCCCTTTGCGGTCAAGTAATAAAATTGGACTGCGGGCAGTTTCGTCCAGCCGGGGCCAACACCTTATTGCATGTAAAACATTTATGTTCTGTGGATATTGGCGAATTCCTACGTGCCACTTTCGACTCCGCGTACATCTTTCTTTCGATTCTAAGATTACGATCGCGTGTGTATCAGTTGTATGTCACATACTTGCAAGCAGTTTCAATAATATCTGTTTCGATCTATGAGGCACTTTAATTTTCAAATATAATATATAACAGAGATTTCATCAGATGTTCGAAACATTAAATTTTATGCGTTCATTTAACTTATTTTACCGACAGTTATTCCGATAAAATTATATGTAATTTAACGTTATATTTCTTTCACATTTCATTTATTTCACTTTCTCTCGCGTAACTAGCACATTGTGCACAGAGAGAACAATAAATTTACACAGACACGAGTCTTGGGACGTGTTACACGGAATTATAACGAACGATTTGACAGCATGGATTCCGTGCCGCGAAACGCAACGCGGACCGTCAACGTGACGTTCAACAGTTGTATCGCGCTTCGGGAAGCGCGACATTAATCACATGTCGTACGGGACGTGACGCCAAGTATATAACAGATACTGGTCGCTCCGTGACGAGTATATTAGCCTCGTTAAGGGTGACCACGGTGTTTCTCTGATTCTTCCTTTTCTACGCTACGCAACCCTCTCGTTCATCGCTTTCGACCCTCTGGTTTAC